AGAACACAGTCGAGCATTAATCTCACTTCTGGGAGAAAGAACAGCACCACTGTCTCATAAACATGTCGCATTAGCGCTATTAAAGCTACGTATGTTCAATCTTTTCATTATACTGAAAGAATCCCACACGTATTCACATGTTTCAAGACATTTTACTGATGAACGCATAATGTTTTGATCTGACACGGATCATATCAAGATACTCTATAACTATTTACATACATTTCATAAAGGTTTCTGTTAAATGAAAGTGAAGACGTTTATTCATTAAGCTTCTGCTGCTTGCCTCATTATGTGTTTCCTCTACTCATTACACACAGTCACTTCATCCTTTGTTTACATAAAACTATTGATTAGTCCAGCTTTTCGTAATGGATACTTTACTACCACCACTATGGAACAGTAGTATGTTTATCTATGAAACGTAACCAGGCCTTTACACTATGTCGATTACTTTCTTATTCATCTCTGTTATAGTGTCAAAAAGTCATCCTGAGGACAACACACACACACACACATCAGAGACATGGGTCTCTTCCTCCATTCAGCGCCCATCCTCTACCCTAATAATTTACAAACAGTTCCTAAATGTTAAAAATGGTCGAGGGATTCAATTTACAACAATATTTAACTGAGAAAATATATGCGGGGATCGGCTCACGTAAAAGGCGTCATGGGTAGGGCGAAGCCAGAGGACACTGGTGGAGGCAGTAGTCCTGATGTGCAAATTGGTCGTCCGATCTGGGTATTGGGGCGAAAGACTAATCAAACCAGCAGCTGGGTCCCTCCCAAGTTTCCTTCAGGATAGCTAGTGTCTCGCAGGTTTTTTTCTCACTGCATTCACGTGAATATGGTTCACTACTTGAGTTAATGTACTTGAAGTGAATATGAACTATGAAGTATTCAGAAAAGTAAAAGTAACGGTACAGAACTATTATGATCAAAATATACTTAAACTACTAAAAGTAATAGTCTTCATTATGCAGAATGGCCCATTTCAAAATAATGTCAAATTAAATTACTATATTATAAATGCTGATTCATATGTAATTACATTTGATCTTGAAGACAAATACATCTTCCACCGGGACATAAAACTGCAAAACATCTTGATCGAGACCAGCTCGGACATCCCGCGAGTTCGCCTCATCGACTTTGGTCTGAGCTGCTCCACAGCCTGGAGACCCAGACCACCCCCCTCTCCCTCCTGTCCCTCCTGTCCCTTCTCCTCCCCCCATCTGGCCAACGGACATAACCCCCACCCCTCCGATGGCAGCCCTGCTCAGGAGCTCATCAGAAGATTTGGCGTCTACCAGCCCATACAGGTAGGCACCTGTCTCCACAATATACTGTACACACACACACTGAATGCACCAGTGATGGAAACCATAAACCGGCTGCCAGACTGGCAACCAGGTATCTGTGTTCTTCTGTCCAAAGTTGATTGAAGGGTTGGCAAGTTGTACTCATGTGTAATTATACTTATATGCATATTTATCAGTAGTGATACCGCAGATTGTAAAAGGTATGTCACATAAAAACAGAATTCTGTCTTTCTCTTTCTGTTTGAAGCACAGAGATGCATGCACTCATTTGCCTCGCTGTCCTTGTGGGTAATCTCCATTGACCACGTTCATTACATAATGCCTCATCTCAACAAACCCAACAATACAAATATAATGTAATGTCGTCCACTCATTCAATTATTCAAAGTGACGTTATCGGAATTTTAAATGTTGCACTTTGTGAAACTGCTTCTCTCATCAGTTTTCTGTTATTTTTTAAGTTGACTGTTTCTTGCCTTTAAATTTGTACGTACGTTGACCTAAAATTGGAAAGAGATATCTTTTTGGTGTTTTAATGGCTTTATATTATTTCTAAGTACATATTTTTGTTATCTATAACATATGGAAAGAAAAACAATTTCTGTTATAAAGAATAGTAACATGTATTATGTTCGGGGTCAATTTGACCCCAGGAAAAACAAACACAATTTCCGTATTGTCTGAATGGACAGCGCCCACGAAATGCAACCAGACATTCATCCACACTCACGTGGGGGCCTGGATTGTAAAGAAAGGGTAATTGCTGAACCCACTTGTCTCATACATTCAGTATTGCTGCGAGTTTGTCACGCTCTCGTCGGCCCTGCCTTGTTTTTCTGTCATCAAAGCGTATGACACGGGAGAAAACATGGAATGTGTTTAGAGACATGGTGGCTGGAAATATTGCCCTTCTAGTGTCAGCAGCCCAAATGCTTGCTGTTGCTTCGCGTTTGGATTTGTACACTCCTGCCAAAATGAGCAACCCAATGTAGGCCTGCAAGTGGGACACATCCAAGTCTTTCCAACTGTCCGTATACACGTACCTCCTCTCTAAATTTGTCATCTCAAGTATATCCTTTTCGATTGATGGTTTTATGAAGAGCTCAAATGCTGATTGTATGTCTTGGACATGGCATGACATGACAGTGTATCTGGTGGGGCCTGGAACCATTTTGATGACATTAGCAGCACTAATTGCACTAATTACAAAATTATGGTCTGTTCTCCCCACTTGTTCAAGTGGGGAGAACAGACCATAATAACTTTCCATTTTTGGAAGGTAGTGTGTTTGCTGGTGCTTGAGATACAACAGGAGGGTCAACACTGAGGGTCTCATTCTCATCAGAGGAGGATGCCTCATAATCAGGGTCCTCCTCAACATCATGCTCTGTCTCAGACACATTCTCCTCTATGTCACTTTCATGGTCAAAGAGATGAGACAACACCTCATTGGCAGAAAACCTTTCCTTACAATTGATTTTCAGTTGAGAGAGCAGAAAGAGAGCACACAGAGCACCAAGAGAAATGGTTTAGAAGGCTGCTGTGCAAGCGTTTGCTCCACCCCCATGTCGTGTGAACTATCAGTGGTTCTCGCACTACTACAGTTATGGTTATGTTAGGTTAGGGCTAAAGCTTTTTGAAGATTATAAAATTGCATGTTAGTGACCTCAATATCATCCAAAACAATTGTGTGTAAAATGTTGATTGTAGCATCCTCGGCTGAAATGTAGTTTTATAAACTTTGTTCAGGAACAGGGCCACGCCCAGAACACCGCTCATTTCCTCTGCACAGAGTATTTAAGCACAACGAATCCGTTCACTCCCTCTTCGACTCTTGTCTTCACATCCCTCCCCTCCAACCCTGTTTTTGTCTTCCTATTTCTCTCTCTCTCTCTCTTGTAAGATTACAGGAACAACAGGGGACTCTGCACCGCCAGAGCTTCCGAAGAGACAGCCCCCACCCTACAGTCTCCAGTCCCCCCGGTCCCGCCAGCCGCCGGACATCATCGATCGCCTAACCTCGTTTCCACAAACCCTCCTCGTTTCTTCTTCCTTACATCCCTTCATCTCTTCATCTCTTCATCCCTACCCTACATCCCTCTACCCTACATCCCTTCATCCGTCTACCCCTACCCCTACCCTACATCCCTCTACCTCGACCCCTACCCCACATCCCTTCATCCCTTCATCCCTACCTCACATCCCATCATCCCTCTACCCTACTTTCCTTCATCCCTCGACCCCTTCCGCTTCTTGAATTTAACAATCATTCCACTATGCAATAAACCTCTCGAAACTCATACTGTTATTGGCGTGGTCCTTGTTAGTGAATAATGGTCTGGAGTCTTTAACTGATGGTCCATAAATCTTTACTGAACACACCGTAAGAACTATGAGGAAAATCAATAAAGACAAACGTTATTGAACACTGTTTAGCATCTTCCCTATCCTTCCCTCTAACATGCTACATTTAACCACACAGTGGTGCCTTCGAGTGGAAACAGCAGTTTGTTAGCTTGAGCTCTTTCGTCAATGATACAAAACAGAAAAAGCGTACCGCTTCTTACTACCTACTTCCGGTTTTGTACCTTCAAAATCAAAGCGCAACAGGAAATGCACCGACTGCAGTGACAAAACGTCCAAAATAAAAGACCTAAAAAAAGGAACAATCTATTTAAATATCCTACATTCTCAGAGGTCCTTTACATGATATTTCTTATATGTTTTATACAGCTAAATCAGCCTGGGGTCAAATTGACTCCAAAGAACACCGATGCATACAGCATGTGTACAGGACATTGAAAACATATCATGTTAATTTTATGTTTACCCAGTTGTCCCCATTAAATTAGGAAAAGTCATTAAATATGAAGCAAAAAAATTGATGTAAATCATTTATTTGGAGACGTTGAACATTGAATGGGGTCAAATTGACCACAAAAGTAACAGGAGGGTTGAGGGCCAATCATTAATAAAAACCCTGAGAACTTTATTTTAAGTTCTAGTGGAGATCCCAAATTTTCCAAAGACACCAAATATGTTGCATTGGATTTTGGGATTATAGCTAATGTAATAATCAGTACACTTAAGTTTTAACATGTTAATGTATTACCCAATTGATCTAGAGGGATCAATCAACATATTACAGTCAATATATATGAAGAAAGATGGTACTTTTTAATTATTTATCTAACAATAGTTACCTTTCAGCAGAGCTGGAAAGTAACTAAATACAGCTATTTAAGTACAATTCTTTTAGGTATTTAGTCTTCACTCGAGTATTTCTATTTTATACGTTTACTCCACTACATCTCAGAGGGATATGTTGTACTTTTTACTAATCCATTTGATAACGTTTGTTTCTCTGCAGATTTATAGCTAATGATTCTAAAATGGTCCATTCTGCATAATGATACTTTTGATTTGAATACTTTTATACTTTTATGTAAATGAAATATTGAATGCAGGATTTTTTTTTTACTATAATAGTATTTTAATATCACTACTTCCTATTTCTTCCACCACTGCTTTTCAGAT